GCAGCATTCACCAGGCTAAGATTTAGAGCTCTGCAAATATTGGCTGCGCTGGCCCTTCACGGGCCAAGAAAAGAGGGGTTGAAGTTTAAAAGGAGGCTTTTGTGCTCGCCGGGGATCTCACCTCTACCTGCCATATACTTTAGTTAAAGACGTTTCCAGTGTCCAGAATTTTCTTTCTTTCTTTTTTTTTTCTCTCCAAGGCAGGGGCCGAAAAAGCAGCGGGGAGACAGCGAGTGACCGATGATCCAGATTTCTCAAAAGAGACAGCACACATATTGAGAGGTGGGTGGACTCCCACCACTAGCCGACGGCCCTGCTCTATTCACACTGACACATTAGTATTCTAATGCCAGAGGGAATATATACGCACAGGAACCAAAAGTGATGAAGGGGAAGGAGGAAAGGGGCAAACTGAGGAGAGACATCCATGTGGTTAGGAGTCACAGGGAGAATAAAGGGAGAGTTAAACCTCAACTTTATACATAACAACAGCGTTTGTCTCCCTTCAGTCATTATCTGAGTCTCCTTGACTACGCTGCAGCTCTTGGGCAAAAGGCGCTCTCTCCTCTCAATCTTGTGCACGCTGCTCAACCTTTTTGTAGCCAGACAATGATCAGATAGTGATGAATTAGCCTGCAATTCTTTGTGCAAGACATAAAGCATATTTTCTTGGCTTTGTGAGCTCATGAGCTCACAATCTTGTAAAAAAACCCATCCAGCCCGACAGCAAAATATCAAATATGCATGAAAACCTCATCTTTTGACTGGAGAGGATGTTCACAGTGTCCCCATATTGCATGAAATAGTTGTGAAAAGTTACAACTAAAGCTCAGAAAGGGAAGCAGATGGAGTGTGAATCTGAGACCAGCTTTGGGTCGAGATATCAACTAGGAAGACTCACACTTTAAAAATGCATTACATCAAAGTGTGCTTTCATATCAGTTATTTAGATGACAAGCAGCTTGTTGGCTGTTTGGGACCGTTCAGTTCAACCTCTTTTCAGATTTTTCATCATCTCACTTCAGATGCCACTCCCACTAACACCGGACACCAAATTCACTTGTTGAAATGGATGTGGGTAGAGCTGTAAGATCCAAAAGCGAGTCACAGCCAGACGTACCTGGAGCTGCTTCCTGCTGAGTTCTTGACCCATGTAGGCCATGTGCAAACACAATAAATACACTGTGGCATGCACCAGATGTTCTACATATAACAGAGGTCTCTTACAATTTAAAGTGCAGAAAAACATTATCTTAAGTTTGATGTTATGTCCATGAGGTGGACGAAAAACAGTCAGTGAGCTTCATCATCGATCCAACAATGTGAGCAACCATCCATTTAACTCTGATCTATTAAGGAGATCTTATTAATGCTCAAAGTCCATTAGCCTCACAGCGGTGTCACTCAAAACAGGGAGATACTGTATAAGTGAGCGGTTTTGTGCTTAAATCAACTGACATTTCTTGGTTTACTCTTCACCACATTCCATAATGCTGAAAAACGCTGTATGTTTACAGCAATATGATGCTTGTGAATATTCCCCCCCCCATGTCCAGCAGCGAGCTGGATCAACTTGAAGCCCCATGTCAAAACGCATTTTCTATGGTCCTTTAATAACACAGGCTAATCACTTTAGCTTTGTCTCCTGGGGCACAATGTCTCCCCTCATGGCCTGTATCCTGCCAGGGGGCCATGGAGCAATGCGGTGACAGTGTGTTGAATTTGGGTGACAGGGCCCCAGTGGACTGGGCGCCCCCCTGGCCTTAGAATAATCCCCAGGAGAAAGGGCCTGCATTTAGGGTGTGATACGCTTTATCCAGGAGGAGGCCTCGCTCACAAAAGGGCCCAGCATTTCCTCTAGCCTGGGAGCTTCCGCTGGACTGGGGGGCCCGTATTGGGTGCCAGTGCAAACATGAGCCTACACTACATGCCTGCATCACAATGGAACAATCAGCAGACACACTGTATAGACAGACAGATACACAGAGTGATGGACGGAGGAGTGGGAATGGGAAAATCCTAGATAACCAAACATGCAAATTCACATTGAACCTGTGGAGGGGGGGGGGATGAAAACAGCCCAAACAGCCCAAACAGCCTACTCTTACGGGGGAGAACGGGAGTAAACAGTACACAAAGTCATACAGTACACACGGTGGGCAGAGGCGGTGTTTACATTCTACCCCTGGGTAGAATTAAACAAAGCCAGCGGGCAACATAGCGAGACTTGCTCATCTAACGATCAAAGTAGATTGATCAAACCACTCACCGCCTCCAGATAAGTTGAAAAGGGAAGAAGGCTTCATGTGGGGATGGAGTCCCGATGTACGGTAGATGTGGTCTGGGGGGTGGAAGTTCTGGTGGATGGCGGGTAACCTTTAACTCCATTCCCTGGCAGCTTCTGGTCCTGGGGAAAAATAATATTTAAAAGATGAAAAATCGTTCCTAATCTTGCTCGAAAATAAACACATTCAACTGTGTAACATCTAAGGGCATTTACGTAAACAGCTGAGGGATTTTATTCCGTACTTGAGTGACACGGTTCCAAGTTTGGAAAAAGAGGAAAACCTCAAGCATGGAACCTTTTTTTCCCCTCACTTTGAGACAGTAATAAACAGTGATTTTCTTCAGCTCAAGTTGACATAAATAGTGATTTCCTCCATTTTAACTTGACATTTGAACAATCCACAGTGCTCCCACAGTAACTGACCCTTTAATGGTCAACTATGCAAACTAAATCTGGCCACTTGAATATTCAGTTTCAGCCACTAACTCGGAGGTCGGATGCTTATCTTCATTTTTTTTGGAAGTCTCTGTGTTTTCCCCAACGCGCACTTGTCTGGCAGCAACGGAGTCTGAAATAAAGAAGAGAAGGATTTGGAGTGAGCTCTGTGATTGAGGTCTGACATGAAGAACTGACTCGGCGCCCGCTGACCCTCTTCACCGGACGGTTTTTCAGCAGCGAATCGCGGTCAGGATGGATCTCAAGCTTTGAATTATGAGCAGAGACACTATTACACATCCAGCAGAATTAGGGCCTCATTCGAAAAACAGCCATCTCGCCGGGGATGCTTGTTTTTACAGCGCGAGGTCCACCGCCGCGTTGACTCATGCACCCCTGTGTGGTGTCCACCAGAACTTAAAAGTGCTCGCGACAGTGCCAGGAGAGTGTGTGTGCGTTCGCCTGCAAGCATGTGTGCACATTAAGTCCCAGAAGAAGCATGCCTAATGTGGGAGAGAGGCAGTGAATCCAACGTGGCGGCTATCCAGCATCAGTGTTCCTGTCTTGGAGAATTAGCCTGTCGGCCCGTTTTAATTCCTGAGGACACAGGCGGCTCTGAAACCCGGCTTGAGTTTAAACTGCAGAGACTGGCTCGCTGCGCTGTTTTCTCAGGATTGGGCGCAGACGGGGAGGCTGGCGGGCCGGCCGGCCGGTGGGGTTGCAGGTCAGGCCGCACCAGGCAGCGAAGCTGCGGAGCAAACACAAATCCAGCACAGGGTCATGCTAACACTGTGGTCACATTTGGCGCTCGGCGCCAGTACGGTTTAGCTCATTTTCCTTTTGATGTCAGAAACAGATTTTTCAAAAAGTTGGCCCATGCGAGCCACTGTGCAGCAGGGAGTCCTGAACTGGCCCAGGACAGGCTGTTAAAAGGGTTCTGATTGTGTCATTCAGGTCATGCTCAGGTGTGGTTTTGGAGGCTATGGAAGACTTTTGTTTCACAGGCAGAACAAAACATGTCCTGGGTATCGGAATTCTCCAATTGAATGTTTATGTTAGTTTTGGCACGCAGCTGTAAACACAGCTCCAAAATCTTGGATATGTCCCAAACAAGCTCCTGTTGAGGGCAAGTTCTGATAAAAGGCCTCACTGCAACTTATATGTCACAGGTTTCGGTCGGTGTGCCAGTCCTAGAAACAGGCATTAGGTAAGTGCAGGTATATTTCTTAAAAAAAAAAAAAAAAAGAGGATTAAGATGTCAAATCCAAGCCGAGACAGTTGTGGCTTGCGTGGTTAAAGGAGAGTACCGTACGTCTGCGTTTTGGGACATGGAGTCTGCGTGTTAACAGGAACTCGGTCAATTTCTGGCCTGGCCAGGACTGCCGACACCCTCTGCTCTGCCAGATCATATATCCAACACCTGTTGCTTTGTCCAATTCAGCTTCTCAAGTCTACCGCCGGTACTCATCTATGGGTTTGCATGTGTTTTGGGGTATACAAGCCTGCTACTGTACGTGTGAAAATCGACACCGTTTGTGCCAGCAAAGGGGCTATAAACAACAATCCGCCAGCCCAAGGAATCACTCGTAAAATTCAAACATAAAGGAAAGTCACCAGGGAGAGTATGCAGCCTCTTTATTTGGTGTACAGAAAAAAAGAGCAGTTTCAATATTAAAAGAAAAGCACAGAAACCTAAAAAAAAAATGACAGAGAAATAAAAAATATGGTGCACTGTCTGTTTTTTTTCCCCACATTGACTCAACAGACAAAATCTAACAATTTTGAGATGTCGTCTGAAAAAGCCTGAAGCTTTAGAATTTAATATAAGCGAATAAAAGCCACCCTCAAAAAAAAAAAAAAAATTAAACTAAACTTTCTATCTACGAAGGCTAACATGTATCCAGACATTAGAATTTAAGCGTACGGGTTCAAAGGTGGCGCAAAAACAACACCAGTGGTAAAGTGAACGGATGAAAATTTAAATGAAACAGGATGCATTATGAATGTGTCACTGACTACTAAAACTCTGCTATGTGTGTGTGCACATGCATGGAGCAGATGGTGATTTGCTTGCTACTGCATTGTTCTTGCATGTGTTGAGGTAAGCATGGTGAGGCTACAGGGAGCGGCGGCTTAGTGTACTTTCAGAGACCATTAAGAGAAACAAAGACATACACAGATATGGAAAAAAATAAAGCAAAAACAAACACGCAGGTACTTCTGAAAAGTGTGTATTTCCACATTTTTAAAAAGGTGCAGTGGTGTAGCTGCTCCCCGTTTAGGAGCGATAGAGCAAGATCCTTTCGGCGCAGTGCTGACCGACCAGGCCGGCGTACTGCTGCACCGCCGCCTCATCGGAGGGGCCCTTCCGTTTGCGGCTGTAGGCCGCGTAGGGCATGACGCTCCGCCAGTGCAGCACCAGAGCTTTGCCCAAATCCTTCAGCGCCCGAGCGTCTCCTAGATGAAACCAGGCACATGTAAAAACATAATAAGCATCAGCGAGGACAAGTCCAACACAATAAACATTGTTCTTATTTTCCCCCCAGCTCATTTGAATTAACCTCTGAGAGGCTTGGCAGAGAGACATCATTATTCTGAGAGGCGGTTAGAGGAGTACAAATACCAAAAAAACAAAAAAAAAAAAAGCTAACGCCCCCCTCTAAGATTCAATTCCCCCATGAAGTAAAACTGGAGTCGTCGTGGTGCGTGAGTTAGTGGGTCTTGTTTACAGGGCCCTGCGTTCTCCTGGCTCATCAGCTCCAGAGTCATATACTGCCAGCTCCAATCAGACCATAAAAAAAAAAAACAGACCTCTGGAGAGTCGAATGGAAAAAAGGGTGAAAATAATTTGACCCTCGCTTTGACACTAAATGTGCTGCATCTCGGAGCGAGGGGCCGAGCCAGGCTCCAGCAGGGCAGGCAGAGGGAGAGCTGACAGAGCCCAAAAACACCACGCAGGGGGATGATGAACGCACGCGGGTTTCAGCATCCATTACGAGGGATGAAGCTCTCCACATCACCCCCCGCAGCCCTCCTCCAAAATACTAACCAGATTCACCGGTTGCAAAATGCATGAAACATATAATGCATAACATCTGTGTCTTGTCCTCTTACATTCAGATGTCCACCTCTGAACTACTGGACGAGAACGAGGTAAACAAACTTCCGGCCCAGAGAATCTGTAATGTGGAATGCCCTGCCAGGACAAGAGGGCTACCCGTCACTCAAAACGGAGGCGAGTGGATATAAATGTGGATTTAATTCAGCCCCACAGATTCCTCTTGCTCAAGTTGTCCAGTAACATGAGAGGGCATCTATCTACCTTTTAATTAAACCATGAACCAAGGTAGAGTCGCATTAAGAGGGATTGCTTCAACACAATTTGTGACTGAACTGTATGTTTTCACCTCTTGGAGAATTCCCATGAAATTTGAATTCAAATGGTCCAAAGTTCGGTCGATATACAGTAGGTGAATCTAAATCATGCATCACTCTGTCATCTCTGTTTCAGATGCAGACCTAAAAAACAAGCTAAAAGCAAGAGGGGAGCTGGGAATCAGCATAACAACCCCGGGCTTGCCAGCGACCCCATCTCACAAAGATATTTTCATACCTTAAATGCAACTTCGAAACCACACAGTATATTCATGTTTTATTCATTAACCTCATTCTGCCGCCGAGAAGAAAAAAACTGCTGAGTCATGCTGCTAAAAAGATAGTTAAAACAGACTATTAAATGAGGAAAATCAGCAGTATGGTAAGTAAGTCCTACCGCGTGGGGAGAGGGATTTTAACAGAGGTAAACAACTTCCACATGACCAGAACTTTGGTCCGTGGAGAATGAATGCAACCCGAGGAGGTGAGACTTTTAAAACTTCTGATGCTCCCCTGGGGGCCAGGCACCACGTGCCTCCTTGTGTCCCCCATAAGAGTGACAGGCCGCTGACACCAGTCATCCAAACCTACACTAGTCATGTACAGTTGTGTGCAGAGAGCTTAGCGGATGGCAGGGTGAAGCTTCAAGACGGCCTGTTTACTGCAAACGTAACACCCAGCACAGGCCCCATCTCTCTCTCTCTCTCTCTTACTCTAGGAAATGCAAACATCCGCTCCTCGCATAAACAACTTTTCTTTCCTCTGTCTCTCTCTCTGGCCCACCAGTGCCTCTTCCCTTTTTGAGTGGCTCCAGACTTGGTTCGCGGCGGGCCTGCCGGAAGTTCAGTGACACGCTACTTCGGGGGTCGCAGCTCCATGGAGGTTGGAGTTCAGGGGTCAGGGGGGAGGAGGAGGAGGAGAGGTGAGGGTCGGCCGGGGGGGAGTAAGAGGGTCAGGGCCGAGGCTAGGAGCAATGACACCTCGCCACGCTCCCCTCTCTCTTCCTATCCATCTCAGACTCTCACAGCACTCACTTAGCACCGGATGCTGGTCAAAGGCAGGCCAGCAGGTTACGACCACTTCCTAAGACCCGATGTGGTAAATTCTAAACGCGGGCTTCGCTTTGAAAAGGAAAAGGCCAGGAGCTCGTTGTCGTGTACGAGGACTCCTCTTTGAGCGGAAGGCCTGGTTTCAATCGCTTGTGTTTACAACTGAAAGCGAGAGAGACAGTGAGGCTACGTGGCTCATCATGAATACTGACCCCTTTGATAAAAGGAAGCAGCAAGAGAAGTTCCTTCATTTGTAAAGGATATCATCCTCATTGTTGTGATTAAAATGAGGGGAAACATAGTGTCAATGTAGTGAAAAGGCATTTGAGAAGGAACTGCTTCCTCAAACAGGAAGAGAAATACAACCCATTACTCCTTTGGGCTGAGTAAGGACAGAAGAAGCCAGGCTAAAGGGGAGAAAGCCTCACAAGGCATAGTGGCTCTCACAGTGTTTATATATATATGTATATATATTAGCGTGTAATGTGTGTAAAAGAGGGTTATTTGATTATATTCCTGCTTTTTGACTAATCAAGTGACAACACACAAGTCCCTTTTAGCATCTGTACGCGCAAATCAGAACTTTGTGGATCTGGTTCGAGGCCTGACTGACGGCTCCAACGTCCAAATGGAGACTGCACAGGTCTCACATTTTTGCAAAGGTTTACACTGCTGAGCGGCCAATGCCCTAACTTCTCACTCAAGCCAGCGAGCACTGATAGCGAGCGTTTGACAAATGGTACACAAGTGCCGAACACACTGTGTCTATGTGTGTGCGCACGCTTCCGGAACGCCTAATAGATGCCTTAACGAGGCTCTTGGGCTTCTGACGTGTCAGCAGTCAGCACGTAATCATTGTGAGGAGAGAGTTGTGTAAACTTCAGATAAGCTGTCTTTACACACTTCATTAGGACAAGACTGGGACCCGCTCACTCTGGGTGACACTTTGGAGAGAGAGGTAAAGACTTCCTGTACAAAGAAGCTGTCTTAGACAGGAAACTTACTGAGGTACAGTGAAACAGTACTGTGCAAGGCTTCAGCTAGGTACAATCTTTAAATATATTGCAAGGAGAACTGGAAATAGATACAGGAAATCATTAAAACGTCAAGATATGAGTGGAAAACAAACACATAAACAAGAAGAAACTTTGCAAAGTGAGGGATTCTGCTTCAGAAATTGCTTTCATCTCTGGGAATACACAGTTCCATAGATTGATATGGTGGATGATGACAGACGGTCAGCTGATAAACTCTTTTGATCTCTCTCATTGGGCTGATTTACAAAAGTCATCAAAGAGCAGGCAAATATGGTTTGATAGAAAGTTCAGGTTTGTAAAACACAAGTCAGAGATTTCCACTCGACTAGTCAAAGCCAGGAGTCCCAGAAGAGTCTGAAACAAATTGTAACACGACTGAAAATAACCCAGAGCAAGCTGACCTGGTGACTGATGACCATTGGGTGTGTTTCTGGTGAGGAGTGAAACCTCCAACCCACAACTCGTCTGGCAGAAAGCCTCTTTAAACCGCAGCTTGGCAGCAGGACGGAGAGTGAGCCAGCATGCACTGACATGTAATGACACTGCGTTTGGACAGCAAGGACTGAAAAAATGCCCAAACCTGTCCAAGAGCAACAGTCTGCACAGGAACCGAGGCACCACATGAACCACAGAACACACAAATGCACTCTGGCCACATTAAAGACTGACAACTTGGAGGCCTCTTGTCCCCGGTCATTTTTGCCTTCTCAGGGATTAGTGGCAAGACTGACAAGAAAAGCTCAGACCTACCACTGGCTGAGCTGTTAATGGTAGAACTATAAATGACCAGCCCTTTTAAGACTGTCCAAAAGCTTTTTTGTTCATCCTGATTGTAGTGCCACTTCAGTCAATGAATAAACCTGGCCGATAAATCAGAGTATAAAATCCCAGTGACGTCTCTGATATGCATTGTTTACAGTTAATAAAACCAAGGCACCCCAAATACTGGGCAGTGGAAGGACACGTTGCCAGGAAAAACTTTTTCTTTAAGGTAATCAGTTGCATTGTTGGTTACGTCTCCATGACAAGTGTAGGCATGAGCTTGCTTCAATAATAGCTTACTTCTGACTCCCTCATTCAGCCGTCCTCTTTCCGGCTCTGCCTCCATGTGAATCGTTTTATTGTAGTTATCTCTCTTCTGGTGCCAGCATACAGCCCGCGGCCTCAGTCCCTGTCAGTTTCTTTAATGTAAAATATTTGGATCACATCCTCTATTTGTTCATCTCTCACTCCCTCTCTTAACTATCTGTTAGTCTGTCGGTCTATTCAGCAAATTCAGATTTGTCTCTCTGTGGCTCTTTTCTACCCGGAGAAAGTTTGGTCTTGCATTTAATGAGAATAAGTAAGAACAAGGCTTCTTTCCAGTCTGCTCTTAAACATGTGAGAAATTGTTTGCATTAAACCTGATGTGATATTACTGAGTTTCCTATTTCTTCCCCCCAATGCTGCACAATGTCAGACACTTCTACAAGTGAGAACTGCAGTAGCCTGGGCAGAGATATAAGACATATTCAGATATTTATATTCATAAAGGACCATATCACAACAACTGTCACATCTTCTCCAAACATACTGCGATCCAATTCAAGATAATCATAATCCAATTAAATTAAGTACATTTATTTCCAAATTTAAGTCCAATTCATATAAAGCCATTTAAAAAAAAAACTTTCCTAGCTAAGGAACCCAAAAGATCTTTATTTTTATTACATCTGATCAGAATCACTCTGAACGTGCATGAGGCAAATGGATATGGCTGAAGCATTGAAAATAAAGGAAATGAACCCTTTCCCAGCTTTACCTGCATCGAGGTCTTGGTTTAGACGAGCGTAGCGGGCCTTGTCTAGCTGGGGAAGGCATCGCTCCGTTGGTACCCAGACATAGGTTTCTGGGCAAAGGAGGTCTGAAGGCCGGTACTGCCCCTGCATTATGAAAAAGACACAAAAACACAGGACGAGGTTTAACAAAGCTTTAAGAATATGTTTTTTCAAACACTTCTAAATAAACTGTGCCTTAAAAACATCATGTTGGCTTCTGAACATCATCAACTATCTACATCCTCATAGACGAGCTGAATTGATGTAAAAAGATTACATACTTGGTTGGAAGCATCACGACACACACTAGTGAGCCTTCATAGTTAAAGATCTGGCATGTTGTAAACTGACCCCTGAGCCAGGATGAGGGCTGATGCCTGGATCAAACTCCACTCTGTTTAGGTTCTTTGTTACTTCCCCATGTTGGGGCTGTTGTCTACAGTGTTGAACAGGAAATGTAAACACGCCAGCATATTGTGATGGGTGCTTGTGAAATAGGCACAGGTCTGTATTCGACCTAACATTTTGGAGGGAAAGTAAACCAAGCTGAACAAAAACAGCTGCGAGGCATAGAAAAGGAAAATGGGGAAGGGGTTGACCGAGCAGAGAGGAGGAGGGGAAGGACACTCCATTATCAGGGACCTGTGTTCTATCACACGGCTCTAAACAAATACAAACTGCTGAGAAAACTCTGTAAACAGGCCGGCGCCGTCAACGGGCCTGCTGCGCAGCCTCGGCACACAGGAATATTTATAGTGTTTGTGACATTACACTGCTGGACAAAGACACTTGCGTATCTGAAGGCACTTTTTACACACAGATAAATCAAAAGCAGAGCACAGTTCCCAAAATGAACTATAAGGTTGCAAGACAAAGGAAATGCCATCTGTGGTAAACATTGTCATAAATGCTATAACTGCGAGCCATCTGTCAGACGGCTCATATGGAAAAAATGTTGCTTTTATATGTTTTTTTTATGCTTTGTGAATTTCAAAAGCTGCTTTATAAAGCTATATTTCTGGGATGAATTTTTCTCCTTTTAGTGAGGTCATTGTGTATTGCCATTCTGTTTTGAGTCCCTTCACTCAGGCCAGCAGAACAAAGGAAAAAAAAACTTTTTGAAGAGAGGGAAAAAGGAATTCAGAACCAGACAGAAGATTCCAAAGTGCTTTAAGTGCTTCTGCTAATAGACGGGACGGTAGTGGAATTCTATGCATGCGTGGCCAAAATGGATGCACGTACTCCTAGGATCCCAACATCCTGCGGCCTTCCACAACTGTCAGCACAATCGGCTTCACACGCTCACACTCTGCCTCACCTCTATAGCCTCCCTCAGCCCTGAGACACACACCTGCCCAGCAGCAGAAACACTGTGAAACACAAGATTACATGCGACGTGCACACCGAACCTCCATTCAGCGTGAATGCTCACAGGAAGTTTGGTAAGAAAAGAAGGCTGTCAATGGAAAAAAATAATGGAAGAATATAAACACTGACTGAAAAAGCCATTATGCTGATAACAAATGAGGCTGTGCTCTTTGCATGCCGGCACTTGCTTCGGGGTGTGTTTTTAAATTGAAAAAAATAAAATAAAACCCATTTTCTGTGAGCCCTATATTTTGTGTTCAGAGACCAAAATGATACATTTAGTTTGTTGCTTTTAAGTGTCAGAGAGAGAGTTCTGTCCAAGGTGAAATGACACAGAGAGCCTGGTTATGGCACAAACACAACTCCTAGAGTCTGCTCTTGAAAGTGAAGAGAATGAGAAGACCCATCTTTTAGTGGTCTGGACAGAAGGGAAGGAAAATGAAGAAAGGAAAAAAAAAACTTTCATTGCCACCATCCATCTGTCAGCTTCTTTGTTTTACTGGACTGAATGTTAACATGGAGCCCACTACTGACTTTCTTTATCTTATCTCTTGCTTCTTCCCTCCCCAGGTTGGCAGGACGTAACTCACAGGTACCCTGCAGCTTCACTGGGTTTTCTTCTTTTGCAAGAGGTAGATCTCAAATGTCATCTCTTTGAATTAACAGTTCCCAAGACCAGCCAAAGCGGCATTTATGGTTTGCTAAAGTTGAGAGTCCAATCTCACAGCTATTGTACCAGAGGCTGGCAAAGTAGCTCATCACTAACAAATCAATACTTCTGAGAGTCCAACACTATAAAGGAGCCACAGGCGGTGTGTACCAATCTGTTTTTGATATATAATAAAGCTATTGAGTCAAACAGATTTGCTCTCTGCACTTTCCGGGCTCTTCTCTTCCTTTCTGAAAGGACATGAAGGTGAGGGTAATTTATGAAAAGCCCATTTAGTTACAAATAGGATGGGATAGGAAGCAGAGGAGAGGAAAGGGAAAATTAGCTGCAGATGAGCAAGGTATGGCCATTAACATCACCAGGACATAGACTGAGGCGAGCTGACAGGAGCGCCAGGAGAGGCCCGGCACTGTGACAGGACGCAGACAGCCAAGGAGGAAGGAGAAACTGCTGGGGAGGAATAGAGTAACCTGGGGAGTAAGACAAGAGAACAAAACTGACAAAAAATATATAAAAGAAGAATATGTTTACAAGAGAACAACTGCTGTTACTCGTGTTTGTTAATGAAGGAGCGGAGGAGTTGGCGTTTATGGGAAAGCAACACACAGCAGAGCAGGTTTTCCAATGAGCTGAACTTTAACGAGGGGAAAAAAGTTCTTTGTCTGATTTGAATAACAAGCTGCCCTACTGTAAACACCAGCACAAACAATGACACAGCCAACATCTCAGCTAAATAAACACATAAAACAACAGGGCTACACAATATCTTGCAGATGTATGATCGCTCCTCTGGGACACGGCATCGCTCATTCCTTTTGGCCCACACAGACCTTACACACATAAAGATGGCAGGGGCCCCTGCTGTCAGAGTGATCTTTATTACCAGCTCAACGTCTCAAACACTAACCGTCACCCCGCCCCTCCCCTTCATTTTGTACCCTTTGTCCCATTTCTGTCATGGTATCTGGCGCACCTCGACACAGGAAACAATGTCGCTGGCCCATACCTATGATTTATATGAAAAGCAATTAATCAGAGCCATAAATGACGTGCTCTGCTGAAGTCAAGGAATCCTCATGAAAATCGACACCTCTTTTGCCTTATGCTTCTTTTCTTCTCCCCCACTCAGGCAGGGAGGCGGACAAATCAGTTTTAGTGTCGTTTGGGCACGTCTTTTACCAAAGACTATCAACCAGAGGCGTCTTTCACCTCCGCTGGTGGTTGAAAAATAGTTGAGAGCTGATTTTTCTAAAGTAAATACAGATTCGCAACGTTCAACGTGATTGATTTCAGCCAGGAAAAACATCAGCCCCACATTTCGAGTCGGATCACATCGTCTGGTGGAAGTGAGGGGTCGTGTTTCTGGCACCCCTATATGGGTTTATTTCATTCCAAATATTATATAACACAGAAACTGTGTCACTGCAGATCTTTTCTGGGGATCTCTTTGCGCATAACAGCCAAACTGCAGTCATTTAGGAGTGACCGTTTTTTGGGGGGCTTAACGGGAACTAAAAGACAGTAGGTGGAGTGGGTGTTCTAGAGAGAGGGTTTCCCTGCCTCCACAGCCATTACTTTACACTCACATCTGCAGCTGATTTCCTGCTCATACCTCCAGTTGGGTTTTTACACACCCCGCTCCAGCTGAGGCATCACCGTGTATCTGTGTTTGCACGAGTCGGTTTTTGTTAGCACTGTCAGCACGTACAAAAAAAGGTCTGTGCAGGAGAAAGCACTAAGTTATACAGTAATCTGTTGGTCTACTGAACGCCGGATTTACACAGACAGAGTGGCTCCACGGTGAGTAAGGATAGTCAAAAAATAGATAAGGTCCCTAATGGTAAACCTTGCTCTGTCTGGCTCTGGAGAAGCAATGTGAAAAAAACAAAAAGGAGTCTGTTTTCCGTCATAGAGAAAGCTGAGGATAGAGACTGTGAACGGGATATCATACAGTATCAGGATTATATATTAAGCTCTTTCAGAAGCAAACGGGCATTTCATCCGAACAGAAATAAGGTCAACATGCCAAATTTGGGCTCTCATTGCAAAGAAGTTACTCAGACCAAACACTCGGAGTATACAAAGAAGCCTAGTGTGACTCAAAGCCGGGCTGGTCTAACCTCCTCTGGCCCAGGCCAGCACCCTGACCCTGGGTCATACTCAGCCAGTCTTGAAGAAAAAGCAATAAACACAGGCCCTGATCCCTACATCCATACTCTGGGTAACACATAGCTATCACAATGCACTCCCTCTACCATCCTTAGTCTGTTGACACACACGCATTCTGCCCAGACAAGAGGGCACGGCCGCAGGGGCCTCCGGGCTGCTGATGGACGCATGGAAACGGCGCAGTTCACAGAAACACACACACAGCTACACAAATAACGCTAAAGGCCAAAGCGGGGCTGGACGAACAGCACCGCCGAAAGACAGGTCAAAACAAACTGGGCTTCAGAGCAGTGTCTCAGACAGACAGACTTTCACCACTTGTGTGACACAACGTACATAATAAGCATGTGTGGGTGGCTGTGTGTGTGTGTGTGTGTGTGTGTGTGTGTGTGTGTGAAAGCCCTGAACGTAGCTGAGGTCTACATTTGGCAGGAGTTACGTTAACTGCTGCTGTTTAAACACTTGGGACCCACCAAGGCCTTTTCACCCTGCTCAACACATTACTACAGGACGACCTTCAAATAAAGCATCCAGGCTGGTAAGTCTCTCCTTTGGGGCCCCCTTGACAACCCCTACAATTCCATCCACACACCCAGTTCTGTCCCAGCACTCCCTATGCGTCACAGGTCCAGGAATGACAGGTTAATGAGGAGAAAATATTTTTAAAGGATCGCATTTCGGCGGAGCCCTGAGAACCAACGGCAGGCGCTTTTACGGGCACCAGCCCACAGACCGGGCACTTTTATCTCTTTATCTGCTGTGGTCCTCATGGGCAGAGCAAGCTGCTGGGCCTGCCTGACGCACGGCCCAATCGCAACCTGGGCCAGAGCTCCTAATCTTGGACTTTGAAACCTCACTTCAAACATCCAACAAAAGACCAAACCCAGGACCTCCACCC